AACATCAGTAGATTAACCGACAAATACGAAAAGAGTGTCGCAAAGCTAAAGAACAGTGGTTGCTAGACAGGTGTACAGAAATGAGAAATTTGAAGAAAAACATGACCAATTTAACATACATAAACTCGTTAAAGAAGTGACAGGTCACCCAAAACCTTGCAGTTTTAACAGTATTGTAAAGGAAAATAAATTAATTCCTGATCCCAAGGATCTACTTCAACATTGGAGAAACTACATACAGCAACTATACTCAGACAACACTAGAAAAAACTCTGAAAGTGAATATAAAAGTGAACCCTCCACCGAAATATTGAAGTCAGAAGTTGTAGAGCAAATGGAGAAAAGCACCAGGCCCAGACGACATATATATATATATATATATATATATATATATATATATATATATATATATATATATATATAGAAGTTCTACCAATGTTGAGTGAAGACAATATAGACGCCTTGGTAGATCTTTTTAATGACATTAATGGGTCCGGTCAAATACCACAGGATTGGCTTCAATCAACCTTTATACCAATCCCAAAAAAGCCAAACGCTAATAGTTGCGACCAATTCAGAATGATCAGCTTATTGAGCCAGGTCCTAAAACTCTTCTTAAGATGTAACAATAAAACACTGAAAACTTATTATATTTAATTCTGTCTCAAAGTTGTATTTTGACATCGGACAATTAAGCAAATAGCAGTAAATAACGGATACAATGAACAAACAATTAATAAAATGTTAAATCAAAAACTACACAAGAAAGCCCTGAAATTAGTATTTCCACCACCAGAGAAAAAACCTAGTACCTTCTGTTCGATTACATATACAGGCAAAATTACAACAAAAATAGCCAAATACATAAAAAAGAAAGGAATAACACCAGCTTTCCGAACAAATAACAACCTAGGCAAATATATCAAAAACAACAAGAGCCAAAATAAAAAACACTTACACAGTGGTGTGTACAAACTTAAATGTGGCGACTGCCCAAAAACTTACATCGGTCAAACTGGTAGAAACTTTAACAAACGAATAGCAGAACATAAAAGGGCTTTCAATAACGGAAAAACAGATTCTACATACGCACTTCACCTTCTAGATTACAATCATTCTTTTAACGACGAATTTAAAATTCTTCACATTCAAAATAAAGGCCTTAAATTAAAAGCTATCCTTGTTAGAATCTAAGGAAATCAACAAATTAAAAAACACAGATATAATTCTGAATGACCAACTCGAGGCAAACAGTTCTCCCCTCCTCAACCTATTTTACTAGAGACTATAAAGTGTAAACGCATGCCAAAAATAGATCACTGGAGAAAGGCAATCAGGCGAAACAGCTGTAGTGATAAGGGTTAAAATACATTTTTGTGGAAGTTTGAAAACAAAGTTTTCAGTGTTTTATTGTTACATAAAATGAATTTCCATCAAATAACGGTCGAATCCATCAATTATCTTCTTAAGATAATTCACACAAGAATATACAACAGATGTGAAAGAGACATTAGCTCCACACAGTTCGGTTTCATTTTTTCCGACACAGGAAAGGATTTGGCACAAGAGAATCATTTAGCTTAACTGCCCTACTTCAGAAATGCAGAGACCAGCAAAAAGATGTCTTCCTGTGCTTTATAGATTACCAGAAAGCGTTCGATTGTGTTAATATCATTCAGAATTAGTGAGATTGCTCCAGGAACGTTCGATAGATGAGAATGACCTTAAAATCATAAAGAACCTTTATATGAATCAAGTGACATCTGTGAGAGTAGGACTGGAATCTACATAATTTTTCTCAATCGAAAAAGGTGTACGACAGGGATGTGTTCTGTCACCCCTCCTTTTAGAGGCTTAAGTGACACTGAAGATGGAATCAAAATCAACGGACAGACTATTAGTAATCTTCGCTATGCTGATGATACAGTGATAATAGCTGATAGCCAAGAAGTGCTACAACGACTAATAGATAGAATAAACACTGAAGGAGAACGACTGGACTTGTACATTAATATAGACAAGACGAAGGTAATGGTGGTTAGTAGAACACGAAATATGCAATTAAATATAAGAGTAAACAATAAGAACATCCAAAAGGTCCCCAAGTTCAGATATCTCTGTAGTTGGGTACGTGAAGATCTAGATCCAGACATAGACATACGTAGCAGGTTTCAGCAAGATTTACTAATATGAGAACCTTGCTAAGCAACAGCAGCCTTAACGCTTCGATATTGCTTTGTAAAATTTTAGATTTACTCCATACTGCTATATGGTGTAGAAACCTGGACCATAATGACCAATATGATGAACCGATTGGAGGCCTTTGATATGTGGGTATTTAGAAGACTACTTAAAATTTCCTGGAAAGATCACACAACAAATGTCGAAGTATTAAATCGAATGGGCAGAGAACGAGAATTGCGGCCAATAATAAAAAAAAAGAAAAACTGCTTATCTGGGTCATATATCTCGAAATTCCAAATACCAGTTCTTAAAGCTTATTATGGAAGGGAAGATAGAAGGAAAACGGGGCATCGGAAGAAAGAAATACTCATGGCTTAAAAACATAAGGGATTAGACAAATCTCGATGCCCATGCACTCTTTAGGCCACACAAGATCGAGAAGAGTATGCCAGAATTGTCGCCAACATCCACTAATTGGATAGGGCACCATAAGAAGAAGCTTATTTGAAAATTTAGGAAAAACAGTCAATTAACAGAAATGCTGAAAAAAAATGAAAGAATTAACATAAGCTAACTTTAATTTTATATTGGATGCATCAATCCATGATAATAGCTGATAGCCAAGAAGGCAGATAGCCTATCCTGACATATGCGGCCATTGTGTGGTGGCCCCGGGCTAGACTGGCTTCAGCTAAGGCCCAGCTGAATCACCTCCAGCGATTAGCATCTCAGGTGCCATGAGGACCACTCCCACAGCGGCTCTTGAGTCTTTGCTGGATTTACCTTCTCTACATCTTATTGTAAAGCACGAAGCCATGATGGCAGCCTATCGTCTTAACTGCTCTGGATACTGGTTGGAAATTAATGGTCGAATGGGCCTTTGTGGCACCTGGAGGCAGATTCTTGATTGTTGTCCTGTGCTCTCTATGGTACAGGACAGCATGGCCCCCCAATGTGAGTTCTCATCTTCCTTCTTGGTTTAATTTCCTCACCGGGATGAGTGGATGGAACGAAAGCCTGCACTGATCCGTCGAAGCAGCCTCACATGGTTCACGGATGGGTCCAGAATAGACGAGCGGGCAGGTGCCGGAGTATATGGGAACGGAATCGGACTTAAATCTAGCTCTCATACATCAGTCTATCAGGCCGAGATCTTTGCAATCCTGATATGTGCCAAGGAGATAATAGATATGGCTTACTCAGGCTGGACCATCTCTATCTGCTCTAACAGTTAAGCAACGCTAAGGTCTTTGGAAGCGCCCAAAGTCAGCCTTAAGCTAGTTCTTGAGTGCAAGAGAGCACTTGCTGATGTTGCGTGGACCAATAGAGTTAAATTGGTATGAATACCGGGACACAGGCATGGAAAGGAACGAACGAGCTGACGCCCTGGCATGACATGGCTCATTCACTCTACCAGTGAGACTCGAATCTGTGATTGGAGTACCACTCAGTAGTGGTCGGGATAGTCTCAGAGAGTTTCTTCTGAGGTTCCAGGGCCCCTGGGCCACTTGTGGAGCTATGAGACAGGCTAGGCTCCATATAGTGTGGCTATCCAAAAGTCTTACAGCCCAGCTTCTCCTACTAGACTGTAAAATGTTCTCTCTACTGGTCATTATGCTAACCGGCCACTGTAGACTCAGGCACTCCTTCCGGCTCGAGGAGATAAGAATACGGCCGGGTCCAGAAGACCCTGCCTATCGTAAGAGACGACTAATGGGCGGATATGAGAGGTGGAGGGCCGTCGTTTGAGGTGTCGGGTTGGTAGAAACGCACGGAGATGCTTAGTCATCTCAGTCACCGGTCTATATTCCTAGTATCCGAGACGAGCACCTCGTGGGAGCACTCTACTCTCATTTTCCACAAGAGCCGGGTGTGGTTGAACGACCCAGGTACGTATGCACCTCCGGAAGCTGACATCGCGGAAGGGGGAGCGGGAGACTCGGCACGTACCACACCTCGGAATGATCAACGAGTGGTAGAGGAGCGATTCCTCGGCGGCGACCTGACGTACGAGGTAGTATTCCACCACCTGAGTGCCTTTCCGCCTCCGGGAGGAGGATTCACGGAAGGGTGGCGTGACCCGCAAAACAGGTACTACGGAGGAGGTGGAGGCCCACGATGTTTCGGCATCGTGCCACCTCCAATTGGTGTCGGACTCGTAGGGGCAGTGGGAGCGCTAACGGTCGTATGCCGAAAGGCCAGGTAGACCAGGGTCCTGCCAATTAATTTTGGAGGGCACAAAGCTATGCCATGTAGACTCAGGCAGCACCTTCATCTGCTTGGATTGGTGGATAGCCCACGGTGCTGTCTTTGTAATGAGGAGGAAACCTCCTCACATGTCCTCTGAAAGTGCCCGGAACTGGCCTACCAGAGGTGGAATATCCTGGGTCCAATCTTTATGCCACTGAGCTAAATGAGGGAGTTATCCTTAAAGAGACTTGTGGCTTTAGGGAGGGCTCAGACTTGGAGCCCCTGCTGATTACTGCAGATATGGGAGCCCGGAACAGCCTGGGCCCTAGAAACGCTAAAGACTAGGTCCTTATGGGCCTATTCTGTATCATAGGGGTGATATAATGGACCCATCTTAGGAGGTCTGAACGGAGGAAGTATCTGAAAGGCTCATAAATGGGTCCTGCCCCGATCTACCATAACCATAGGCTAGAATGTGATTTAAATATATAATACAGTATACAAAGTCAGTTCTGATTTAAGAATATTGGAAATAAAAATTATTTTGTCTATTAGATGTTTAATATATTTTAATTACTTATTTGTTCTAAGATATTCTTCCAAATCAAATAATAACAAGCAAGATATGATGAAGTAATTATTTAATTGATAACAATTATAAAAATCTGTGTTATAAAAAAATATTAAAATAATACATAATTAAATTTCATCCTCATTCAGAAGCATATTTGGAATGCCATTATTAATAGGAAACTTCCGACCCGTTTCCGGACATATCATTTCTCCTGTGACAATATCTACTTCCAGAAGAACTTTATGGACCTTTTTCAAAAAATCTTCATCATCTTTGAAATTTTCTATTATTTGTTCAGGAAGATCTTCCAGTTTTCCCACACTTTTTGCTGCTTCATATAATACAGGCCAATCTAATCTGGGAATCATATTTGACACAAACTCTGGATTAAATTCTACTTCAGATACTTTTACTTCTTGTGCCTGCAATACAAATAAATGTCAGTTGTCTAGAATCAATAGAGCCTAATTAAATAGAAGTTAGAATTAATCCACCCTTCTTCCTAAAGGAAGTAATTAATGAAATAAAAGAACAGATACAAAGAAAGCACCTAAATATAACTTAATCACTGGTGAACTACTAAAAAATCTGCTTCGTAAAGTTGTAGTAAAGATGAGTATTATTCTGAACACCATCCATTTTCAAGATAAAGTGCATTGAAGAAAAAAATGTTACACATTTTTTACGATTTTGCTGAAACTACTGGCAACATTGTAATGAAATTTTATATGAATATGTTTTGGAAGCTGATATTCTGATACATATGTTTTTATATCCAACTCTCATTATTAATCAAAATTCTAAGTGAACTTTAACATCATACAATTTTACACTACTCTTGGTAAAACTTGATACTGTGTACAGTTTTCAGAATATAATTCGGAATGTTTTGTATAAAGTAATAATCTTTCATCTTTAAAGTGATGTTGAATTCCCATTCTTCATTTACCTCTGTAGCATAGACTTGTGTTTTTGAAACGCAGCTCCAGAAGTGTGTTTAGATTTTCTTAAATACAGTAAAACCTTGATACAATGGACTACTTGGGGGAACGGGGTGTCCGTTAAAGCCGAAAGTCCATTATATAAAAATATGTTTAAAACCTTTTTTTGAAAATATGTATATACACTGTATTTAGGTATATATAAGAAATACAAAATACAAACAAATTCTATTTAATTGTCTTCGTACATTCGTCGTGAAGTGACGTTGCTGTTGATATCGAATATCAACGCGCTTCTTGTTGGTAATCCTATTTTCATATAAAAGAATCAAATTTCGTTTGCATTTTTCATGTTTGCTGTTTTTTTTTATGATCAACACTCTAAAATTACGAAAATGTAGAATACAATTGAACTTCGATATCTGATGAATAATCAATAAATGTTATTAGATCGTCGAGATGTGATCTTACCTCTGATATTTTCATTTTTGGCAGTGTTGTTTTGTCATCTTTATCGCTATCTTCACTCCCATCCTCATTTTTTAGATTCCTAACTTCAACTGCTATTTCACTTTAGTCATGTTATACTCAGGGTCACCTTCATCTACTTCTAGCTATTGTAAAAATTATTTTTCAGCTACATGTTCTCCGGCATTATTAGTATTGTCGTCCTACAGAAATCAGTAACTTCCAACCCTTTTAAATCTATGTCTGCATCTTGGTCATCAAAAAAATTCTTCCAACCATTTTTTAATGTTTGCTCTTTCACCTCCTCCCATGGTGCAGCAAAATTAAAAATTGTTGATTTTAAATTGTAAGACCTTAAGTATGGCAAGGTATGCTGCCCTCTTGTATCTTCTGCATTATCTCCATCATGTAATACAACAATTATTTCATCTAAAAACTTTCTGCTACGTATTCGTTTGGTTGCCAAAATTCCCTGATCCATGGGTTGAATAAGCTATGTTGTATTTTTTGGCAAAAACATACAGCTAAAGATGCCATCTTCCGAACGTAGAATATTTTCAGAGGGGTGAGCAGGAGTGTTGTCTAGAAGAAATTAACATTTCATCTCTTCTGGCGGTATTCCCAATTTCTTCTCTTAAAACTTTCTCACTGAAGGTACAAATTCTTTGAAAAACCAATATTTGAAAATATCTGAGGTGAACAATGTCTTCATAGAGCTATAATATAAAATGGGCATATGATGCATTATATATTTTAAAACTTTAGGTTTACGAGATTTGTCAACCATTACAGGAGTCAATCTATGCGATCCATAGGCGTTAGCACAAAGCAGTGCTGAGATCATGTCCTTTCTGAATTTTCTTCCAGAATTCGATTTTTCATATTTAGAGACTTGTGGACTTTCAGGCAAAGTACGCCATAACAAATCAGTTTCGTCAGCATTGTAAATCTAGATTCAGTAGCATTTCATTACACCCCGAACAAGTCTGTGCAGAAACCAAACAGATAAGATAATTAGTGAACCAACGCAAATAAAATCAGTTTGGAAAAGCCATTTCCAAGCTCTGCTAGGAGCACAAGGAAGCTCACGATCTTCGGATTTGCGGCACATCGAGGAAGGAGACGAAGAAATAAGCAGCCCGACCCTTAAAGAAGTCAAACAAGCAATACAGGCGCAAAGAAACAACAAAGCGCCGGATTTTGACGATGTCCCTTCCGAACTGTATAAATTAGGTGGCGAACATCTAACAACGCAGGTGCACGCACTCATATCTAAGGTATGGAGGGAAGAAAAAAATTCCTAGCGATTGGAAAAATGGGATTATCTGCCCAATCTACAAAAAAGGGACAAACTTAAATGTGAAAATTACCGCGGCATAACCCTCCTATGTTCGGCCTACAAAATTTTTACATCCATCCTGAATAGGCGACTTCAACCATTATATGAAAATATTATCGGCGAATACCAGACCGGTTTTCGACAAGGCAGGTCGACAATAGATCAGCTTTTTACAGTAAAGCAAATCCTTAATAAAGCTTGGGAACACGATATTGATGTTCACAATATATTTGTCGACTTCAAACAGGCTTATGACTCCATAAATAGAAGCCGGTTATATAACATCATGGAAAGCTTCAATATTCCCTCGAAATATATCCGACTAGTAAAAGCAACGATGGACTCCACAATAGCAACTGTACGCATACAGTACGAATTAACTGACAGCTTCGAAATAGTTCAAGGGCTGAAACAAGGTGATGGACTAGCTCCAACACTGTTCAATCTGGCCCTTGAATATGTCATCAGAAAGCTGAATGTCGGAAGAGCCAATCTCCTAACAAACAAATCTGTCCAGCTCGCCGCATATGCGGATGACATTAACCTCATGTCCCGCAGAGTGGATGATGCAGCAGAAACATATTCGCAGCTGAAAAAAACGGCCAAGGAGATTGGACTTGAAATAAATACACAGAAGACAAAAATACTAACACAGACGCGGACAAAGCAAACAAGAAATCAAATCAAAGTAGAGGATGACATTGAAACAGTGAAGAGTTTTACTTATCTGGGAGTCGAAATGAATACGGAGGGAACAGAAGAAGCCGAAATTCAGAAGAGAATAATGAAGGGAAATAAAGCCTATTTTTCCCTGATTAACATATTCTGCCCCAAGACGGTAAATCGAAAATCGAAACTTAAGGTCTATAAAACTATCATCAGACCGATAGTATGCTATGGATGCGAGACATGGGTTTTGACAGAAAGCACTAAACGAAGATTAGAGGTTTTCGAGAGAAAAATCCTAAGGAAGATCTTTGGATCCATCACTCAAAATGGGATGTGGAGATCTAGATATAACCATGAACTCTACCAACTGTTCAAAGAAGCACCTATTGCAGAGTTCACTAGAGTACAAAGGCTTCGATGGGCTGGTCATGTGGTACGGATGGATGCCGACAGATTGCCGAGAAAGGCCTTGGATGGTAAAATGCAGGGCAGAAGACCAAAGGGAAGACCACGTAATAGATGGGAGAACGAAGTCACAGCAGATGCGCACAACTTATTGAACGTCAGGGCTTGGAGACGAGTGGCGCGGGATCGCCTTTGTTGGAGGCAGAAGTTACAGGAGGCCAAGGCTCAATTTGGGCTGTAGCGCCATTGGAAGAAGAAGAAGAAGCATTTCATTACTTACATGTTCTACTAACTTTTGCCTAAAAGATTTTATTTTCTTCTTTTGGTGCACTTAAAGCTTCGCCGTAAATTCTATTAATAGAATCTCTTGTTTTTGATTGATCGTTAGATTGATTCTTTTCCGTTTGTCTATATTTAGAGGTTAGGATAGCGAAAATTTTAACTTAGCCAGTGTGATAAATACCCATATAATTATAGAAACCTAAGCATTATTATATCAGAGAATCCCCTAATAATATGTGATGTTTTCACTTTCTGTCTCTTTCCTACAATTGTGTAAATTTATATCTCATGTGTGTAGATACATTATATTATGTTTATGATAAAAAATTATGTTTTTCTTACAAATGCTTAATTAATTTATTTATTTTTCAGCAAAAAAATATATACATATAAAAATATATACTTATTAGAAATGTGTCCTCTTATGCTAAATTTATTGAAATTCTTTTTAAAATACAGTGGTAAGGGACAGGTTAAGCATGTATAATATTAACATTATGTTTTTATTTTTTTTTTACTTTTGTCCGGATTTTGTGTATCCGAAGTCCGTTATATAGAGGTTTTACTATATTTTAATTTTAGTTAAATGATTTAAGTAGTTTAATAACATAGGTTTATAAAATTATTTAGAAACTCACCCGAAATCTTAAATTTTCAATTTGGTCACATTAATAATATTACATAAAAAATACCATGCAATGTTACTTATCAATCATTAAACTATTTTATTGCAGCATCAAACAAGAAGTAATGCATTTGTCTTCTCAAAGAGAACTGAATCCTCTGAAAACTGACCCACATCTCTTACTATATACTTACAAAAGGCAGATCTATAATTTTTGTAAATTATGTTGCTTCTTCATGCTCATACCAAAGAATATAGACATATTTTCATACTTACATTTATTTTTAAAGGGTACCCAACACTTACTCCCTTCATACATTTGGAGGTAAGCATATTGTGAGTAAGAAGTTTCATTTCTGAAATTATGTTAGCTTCTATTAATTGAAAAACGGTTAATATTTAACAATAATAACTTAAAAGTTATTTGAATTAAAAATTAAAGTGTTGTTTTTAAACATGTAACCTCAACTTTTCTTCTTTTATTTTACTGAATATTCTTCTTTTCCATGTGTCATTTAAGCACAACTGTAGCCTTAGCCTTACGGACACACACCCAATGTCAACTAATAATAATTTATACTGTGATTTCACACTATTGAAATTTAATTCTGGGCTGAAATTTCTAAGTGATATATCTAAAGCATCTACTAAAGTTAATGTTTTGATATATTTCTTCTGTTGCCAACAGTGAAAGTGGTATCTCAAATTGCACTGATGTAAACAAGATGTTTTTCATTCATTCATTTTTTAATATTCACTTTATTTTAACAATTTTTTTAAACCAAAAGTTTAAAAAGTGGAGTTAGCTTCTTTTGGTAGTAAGTCAACGAATGTACACACTATTTTTTAGAATGTAACGAGAAATGATAATCAAAATTAAGCAATTAAACATAAATACAAAATAATAATTATAATGAAAAAAATAATTTTATTTTACTCATCATAAACCAGTAGTTTTATTTTTAGAATATAATTATACTCAAAATGAATAATTAAACATAAATACAAGATAATACTGAAAATTATAAATAAGTTATATTTTTCAACAAATTTTGAAAGTGACTAAAATCATTTAGGCAAAAAAAATTTAAAGATAAAAATTAAGATTTTTTAAATTTTACAGAACTTATATGTATGGTTTTATTATAAAATAAAATTAACAATTTAATAATAAGCAGACATTAAATTTCATGAACCTGAACCTACATACAGTAAGAAGTATTTAATTCTTTCGGCGCGCTATTTTATAACTCGATAACTTTTAGCAACTTCATAGTTTAAAATAGTCCTTAATTGAAGTTTTTTGTGGTTCAAACTGAGAAGTATAACTTTAGCAGATATATAATTTTTTCAGCCCATGTTATGCAGGTATTAAAACAATTAAATACTATATCTGATTATACTTTTACAGTTGTAGTAGTTGCTGGCTCCAATATTTCTACTCCAGTTTCTTCTTGTACTGCTTGTCATAATTTACTGTTTAATCAGTCTTTTCAAACAAAAAATTTAAATCTTTACCTCGATTTCTGTTTCTGATAAATTTTGAAACCAATTTGTAATAGATTATCTTCAGTGTCACATGATGATGATTGGATGTTTCTGTTCATAGAAGTGCTGGATTAGTGAGGTTCTACTGTATTTATTTTCAAATAAACCAATTTCTTATAGTTATCACATTTATTTATTATTATTTTACATTACATATTACAAAAGTAGCCTCCTGATGTAAAGTAGGTTTTTGAACATCTGTCATATATACTGACTCTGCTTCTGGGATTAAAAGTGCTGAAGTCAATTTTCTACACACACATACACACCCAGAAAAGCAAATTCCGATTTACACAATACACCAATGTCCATATTTACTCTAATAAAAACAAGGTCAAAAATAAAGTACATAAAAAAACTGAAAGCCATACTGTCCCTTACCATAAATCAAATGATAGAGCACTAAAGGTAAAAATCATTTTAAAAAAAGCCAATCACTAAGTATAGTTGGAAGAGTTGTAATTTTAATTCTCTCAAGTTACCAAATTGCTTTTTCAAAAATATATTTCCTCTAATAGTTGAACAACATGACAGAGAGTAAGGTCTTTAGAAAGTTATATTATTATAGAACCTCAGTGTTTCTGTGAAAAAATAAATAAACACTAAATGAACCTAAATTAAAACAAGTGTTTTCCAAAATAGTTAAGGAAACAAATATGAAGTAACAAAATTGAAATAATTTCCATTAACACTGGGGCACTGATAAAAAACAATTTTTCGACAAATTGAATGAAAGTCTACCTTTTTAGACAGTATCACATGAATCTTTTCTGAGAAGTGAGAAAAAATGAAATAGGTTACTAATAATGACCGAAAATACAAAATTTGATATGATCAAAGTAAAAAGTAGAACTATAAGTATAGTTTCAAATCATAAGCTGTGTTAAACTCTTTAAAAGAAATTTCACACTTGTCAGGTTTTTCTCCAGTTTACAATCTCAAATGTATTTTCAAATGACCTGCTTTACCAAACTGTTTAAAATAAATTCCATGCTTGTTCAGTTGTTCTCCAGTCTGCATTCTGAAACGTTTTTTTTTAAATTACTTGTAGTAGTAAACTGCTATAAACAAGTTTTTAATTTGGAAATTTTGTCTCCAGTATGAACTTTCATGTGTTTAGTTGAACAATCTGTGCGACCAAACTGTTTAAAACAAATTTCACATTACTAAAGTTTTTCCTCAGTGTGAGTTTTCATATGTCTTTTGAAATTACTTGTAGTAGTAAACTCCTTTAAACAAGTTTCACACTTGTGAGGTTTTTCTCCAGTGTGTACTCTTAAATGTATTTTCAAACTACCTGCTTGACTAAATTGCTTAAAACAAATTTCACACTTGTGAAGTTTTTCTCCAGTGTGAGTTCTCAAATGTCTTTTTAAATCACTTGTAGTACTAAACTGCTTTAAACAAGTTTCACACATGTAAGGTTTTTCTCCACGGTGTATTCTCAAATGCGTCTTTAAGTGACTTGTTGTAGAAAACGGCTTTAAACAAATTTCACACTTGTAAGGTTGTATTCCAGCGTGCACTCTCAAATGTGTTTTCAGATTATCTGCTTCACTAAACTGTTTAAGACAAATTTCGCACTTGTGCAGTTTTTCTCCAGTGTGAGTTCTCATATGTCTTTTAAAATTAGTTGTAAACTGCTTACAACAAATTTCACACTTAAAAGGTTTTTCTCCAGTGTGCACTCTCATATGAACTTTCAAATAATCTGCTTCACCAAACTGTTTAAAACAAATTTTACATGTGTGAAGCTTTTCTCCAGTGTGAGTTCTCAAATGTCTTTTCAAATGGCCTGTAATAATAAACGGCTTTAAACAAATGTCACACTTGTAAGGTTTTTCTCTAGTATGTACTCTCAAATGTGTTTTCAAATCATTTGCAGTAGTAAATTGCTTTAAACATGTTTTACACTTGTATGAATTTTCTCCAGAGTGGATTTTTATTTGTTCAGTTGCATCTTTCATATTATTTAATATTTTTTCTTCAGTGTTTTGACCTGTATATTTTCCTTTATAGGATGAAAGTGAAATTTTCATAATATTCATTCTGTTCTCGTCTTGGGGACAACCTAAAATACAAACCAACTATAAACATTTTACTGAAATAGAAAAATGATTGCAGACACAAATTAATATATTAAGTAAAGTAAAATTATAGCCCAAATTAACCTTTCTAAGTTTATTCATCCATTATACTTTATTCCTTACAGTTTAATGCCAGTTGGCAACCTAAATGTTTACTGTTGTATGGTTTTGCTCTTATTATTTTAAAAAACTACCAGGCTATTAATTAGAAATATCACCTTATCATACTGTTTAACACCAACAAACAAAAAAACAACGTACAAGATAAACAACACAGGAAAAGTGCCGTCATACAAACTTTTGAAAGTATAGTTTTCTTATGGAGGGCTATGGATGAAGCGGTGGATCACAGATAAGTGAAAAAAATAAAACCAATTGTAACGACAAATCGCGCGACCACACACTACATGGAGTAGAAAATGCAGTCCCATGCAGACGAGAAGAGAGCAGGGTAGATCACAGAAAACCGCAGCAGCAACATAATCTTTATTTAAGTTCAAGTAAAGTTTTCCATGAATTCAAAGATAGCATCATATGTACTTTTTAATGACTGGAAACTGAATTGGAAGGAAGAAACTAAATTGCATTTTTGTAACAAAATCATCATTTGGATTTTTACGATTTTTTTACAACCTTTGAAAGCGACAGTAAAAGAGAGGTAGAATGATACATAGCAGGCAATCGTGGTTACTACTTTTATAGAGAGGAATAACCTCAGCAAATTTTAAAAATCAATAAAGTGACTGGTGGAAAAAGATGAATTAAGCCTCGGCTAAAACTCTGAGGACATTATCAGGAAGATGGGATACAACTGCAGCCATAGGATTTTTAATACTCTGTATAATATTTTTTATTTCAGACAAGTTAGTAGGAAGAAAATAAAAGGAATCTGCAATGTTTATTTCATTTAAAAAAATTCATTGGATCAGAAGAAGAATTAATTTTTTCAGCGCGAGTTCTGGACCTATTGAGGAGTAATATTTATTCAGCTCACTAGGTTATAAGATTATATCAGTAGTTTGGGAAACTTTATCTCTAAGCTTATTATTAGGGTAAGTGCACTAGTAATGGACACCCAAGAGAAAATTTTGTACTATTTTTATTCGTTCTAATGAAGTATTTGACTTACAATTTTTTTTACTGTGCTAGGATACTAAGAAAGGTATATACTTTCATATACATCAAGTAAATAACTAAAAAAAAATTGTTTTTCCAAAAAAATATTTTTTGCTACACAAATGCCAAAATCGCCAGTTAATGGTCACAAAAACTCTAGTGATGGACTCTCGATAATTTAGTAATGGACACTTTATCAAATATATTTTTATATAAGCTTTTCACTGCGTTACATTCCTGAAATTTTTACAACCATTCAAAAAAAAAACATATCCCATGGGCGTAGCCGGGTGGCGGGGTGTTTCGGGTTTCAACCCCCCCCCTCTAAAAGTTAAATATTAAGATTTATAAAATTTTTCTTATGAATATAAGGGTTATTTTATGTACTTTTATATGTTACACTGTATGTTACTTCTGTATGTTACAGATTTAAATAATTTAAGTTATAATCAATAAAATTATAATCAATAAATAAATAAAAACTTACAGAACAAAAAAATTCCAGTAAATAATAAGTAAACAATGGATCAGTTAATTAGTACTTTACAGTTCACTATTATTGATAATACAACGTATATCTGTAGTGACAAGCTAATTATTTCAAAAATTAAATAACAGTTCTTCATGTTAAAATTTACATATCGCAATTGGTTATACACATGTGAAATAGAAATGACAGATATGTTGGCCACTTTAATTATACATTTGAATACATTGCATTTT